TGCTATATAATTTTATTATTTCGGATTGAACTCTAAATTATAATGTTCTTAGGCACTATGATGGATGTCATTTGAGATCCATGAGTAATTGTTCAACTTTTTGGGATAGACTTCATGATGCATCGACTCTCCAAATCTCCAACCAATATATTATCTCATCAGTCTCACACAAATGGAGAGCCAACGACTTTTCAACCCTCACGATCGGTATCATGTGATGAGATCCATCACATCTCTCGATTCAAAAGGTGTTATACTTTTAGGGTTGATCTTAAAAGAGTCTCTTAGCGAAAAATAACTTTTAACCTATTTTGAATTATTAATTATATAATATAATCCTTGAACGAACGAACGTGAGACTAAACCACTTGATATTTTCATATTGCACTGATCTAATAAAATATTAATATTATTAAAATATTAATTTTTTTAATTAAATAATTATTTTTTGAACCGAACCGTCAAACAAAAAAGGAGTCTCCATTGATAAAAGGGGAGCAATTAAATCATTCATATTGGCTTTTCAAGTTGGTTGGAAGGTCACCGATTGACATCGATCATTCAATCGTGATGGGAATTGGAACCATGAAAATTGACACAATTTTCCGTATATATTTATTTGGAAAATTTGTCATTTAAGTATGGAATTGTCAAATTTAATTTATCATACTCTTGGTAACTTAACAAATTAAAAAAATGGGTTATATAGTTAATCTTCTTTTTAATTACTTCAATCTGATTTGGTACCTAAATACATCATGTTGATGAGGCGACACTTAATTGTCATATCAATTCTTGTTGTGAAGTCGCACTTTGACCTTCCAAAAGTTCAAGCTTGTCATGTTATTATTAACCTTGTTGGGATTCACTGTGTACATCCGCTATTCATTGAATCTTTCCGAGCTATGCTCATAGTCCACGATCAATATGGATCTAGTAGTACTTGAATAATAATGACAAAGCATAATTAATTCATCCAAACAGTACTAAGTAAAATAGAATTTTATGAACATGAATTTTGTAACACCCTGATTAGTCCCGCATCGAAAGTGAGTAAGATTAAGATTGACTTATAAGAGTCTGATGAGTCAGTGGTTTAGATCAAACGAAATTGATAGACTAGTTAGTCCATCAGACTCGGGTCATTATAAATTTTAATCTTTTTTTTATTATTTTTTATTTTTACATAACAAGATATCTATATATCCGATAGTTTATTTATATCAAGTACATGTTTTACCTTCCACTATGCTCTTTCTTTCGACACAAAATATCATTGTCAGCCCCCATCATGTCCTTTTCCCATACTCTTCCAAAAAAGGAAATGCATACCACCTAATCATCCGACTTATCACTAATTAATCAACATAAGACACATTACCAACAACATCGACGTATTCACCTCCTACCCGCCTTGTCCACCTTCCATGCGGTTTTGGGACCCACTTCCGGAGTCGGCAATTCGTCGAACTGCAACGCAGGTGAGCGAGCGCGTAGATCCGAACCGGGCAGGAAAAGTATTCTCGTACTAAGAATCTTGTTTCGGTACGTGTACGGCTCTTATCCCTTAGTGGTTACGAGGCGACGACCTTTAATCACTCTGTGGTCAACAGACGCGATCCCATCCGTCCGATCTCGTCCGACGGTTACGATCTGTCCACCGCGGATATCTTGTCCTTTGGACCTCCCGCAAAGCGCCCGCCCCCATGGAAACCGGGACACCGGCTTCTCCCGGTCGCCCCCCCGGCAGACCGTATTATTTGCTTCGGCCTCCTCTATATATCTTATTCGCTGCGCCCTCCCTCTCTCCACGTCTCATCTCCTCACCCTTCGCCGCCGGCGCCGACGACAGCCGGATATCCGTACGCCACCGCCGCTCTTCCAGGCCGATCGGGTCTTTTCGGTTTGTTGCTTCTTGTTGTTGTTCTCGTCTTCGTGGGTTTCCGTTCTTTTGATCTCCCTTGTTGAACTCCCGATCGGATCTGATAATCGAGGATCTTATCGTCTTCCGTTTCTTCGGATTTCGATCTTATAAAGGAGGAATCGGGCTAGATAGAGTGAAGTTGTCGAGGTAAATGCTTCGGGAAATCCATCGCGGTTGCTGCAACCGTCGAGGCCTGGAGACAGATGTTCCGTGACAACGATTCCGCCTTGTCCTGCTTCTACCTCTACTTGCTGTGGCTCTTCTTCCGGAGATAAGTAGTAGCTCGATTCCCAAGTGTGGGAGAGTCGTCGGAGATCGAGCGTCGATTAAATCGGACAAAAAAGCTTTGGCTTTTACTGTATCCATCGGAGAGGAGGAAGGATGTTGGACCTCAACGTGGCATCCTCGGCCGAGTCGACGGCTGTCGCCGAGAAGGCCATTGGCGAGTACACCGGTGTCGTTGGCTCGGAGACGTCTGAGTCGTCTGTCCTCAACGTGGAGACCTCCACGAGTGCGGCGGCCGATGAGGACTCGTGTTCCACCCTGCCGGTCACCGCTCCCGCCTTCGAGTTCGGCATATTGAAGAGATCTGCGTCAGCCGAGGGCGAGAATGATGTGGACGAAGAGATCGAGGAGGACGGGAATGATGTCTCGCAAGAGTCCGGGTTAATTACCCGGCAGCTGTTTCCGCCCCAGCCGGTGCCACAACCATTCGTGGCGGCTTCCTCTTTGCCGTCCTCATCGAGATCACAGTGGACGGATTTTAGCTTCCGCCAGGCCGATATTTCATCGAGTGGGAGAGTTCTCCATCCTCAACAGCAGCAGCAGCAGCAGCAACAACAGCCGCAGCCGCAGCCACAGCAACAGCAGGCGAAGAAGAGCAGAAGGGGGCCTCGATCCCGCAGCTCCCAGTACAGGGGAGTCACGTTCTACCGGAGGACAGGAAGATGGGAATCCCACATCTGGTTCGCATCTTGCTCCTTCAAAACTTGCTCTTTTACTTAGCCCTCCAATCGATCGACCATAACTTTCGTATCCACAGGGACTGTGGGAAGCAGGTCTATTTGGGTAAGAATTCCTCTTGCTTGCTGGTAATTAGATAATATGTTACCCTCTAAAATTAATCTTTACTGATTGTGCCGGACGCTAATAGGAGGCTTTGACACTGCTCATGCTGCCGCAAGGTCTAAATCATCCCCTCTCAGATGCATCTTTTTCTTGCCTCTTTCCGTTGCATGATTTGGGAAATCTTTACTGGTTTTTCATTCTAATCGCAGAGCATACGATCGAGCCGCAATAAAGTTCAGGGGAGTTGATGCTGACATCAATTTCAATCTTAGCGACTACGAGGAAGATCTGAAACAGGTACTGGGATAATGCACCGGAATACATTGGTCGGTGGTTCTGGTTGACGAACAAGTAGAATTAATTCATCAGCTCACTTCTTGTCAGATGAGCAATTTGACGAAAGAAGAATTTGTGCACATACTTCGCCGACAAAGCACTGGATTTTCAAGGGGTAGCTCCAAATATAGAGGGGTGACCCTTCACAAGTGTGGTCGCTGGGAAGCTCGCATGGGGCAGTTGCTTGGCAAGAAGTAAGCAAATTGTGCCCATTTCTTATTATTTGGATTCTTGCTTTGAATCAGTAAGGGTTTTTAGTCTCCTACCATGGATCTTGCCACTTAAGGTTCACAGTTCTATCTTTTTGGCCAAACCACGACAAAATCTATGATATTCGTAGTCCTAGCATTTTGAGAAGTAAAGAAGATCATGAAAACCCACTCTTTAGCTATGAGAACGCAATGCTTGAATGTGCAGGTACATATATCTTGGGCTATTCGACAGTGAAATAGAAGCTGCAAGGTCCTCCTGAGCATGGATTTTCTCATTGCTCATGATAATTTTCTTAAAATCTGAATTTTGTCAAAGTCCCATTCTGATACCAATATTTTGTTTTCTATCTTTGTTGTTGTTTGACATCAGAGCTTACGACAAGGCAGCTATAAAATGCAATGGGAGGGAGGCTGTCACCAATTTTGACCCGAGTACCTACGAGGGACAGCTATTTACTGGTGCTGATTCTGAAGGTATACTCTCAAATTGCAGTTTGTTTCCTTGTCACTCTCAACGATATAAGAGGTGTAGAAAAGACCACATGAAGTTCTATAAATTTCCAGTGTGCTTTCTTTATTTCTTGAACGATTTTTGTCATTCTTTCAGGTCACAATGTAGATTTGAACTTGAGGATTTGTCAACCTGTTGTACATAGTCCAAAGAAGGATCAAAATCTGCCAGGCATCTTGTTCCCCTTTGGCTCATTTGAAGCTTCTGCCCTAGTAAAGGTACAGATGGGTGAATTCTTTCCACTGCAGTTGCTAGTACCTTTCGCTGTTACAAGAGTCATAGTCTGAAGAATACAAGTCCCAAGACTTTTTAATAGATTGCTTCCTCTTCCAGTAATGATTCCCTTAACAAAATTCTTGCTTTCTTGGGATGCCAACTAACCATTTTTCATTATGGTAATTTTCTTTGCAAAGAAAATGCTCTGCCTAGTGGTATTTTTAGTGATTTTGTCATTTTAAACATTCTTGATCCTGTATCTGTTCTTGCCCCACCGCTAGTGGTATTTGATGAAAAATTGCAACTATTTTATATTTGTTTAACTGTAAGTGCTAAGGGATCTTATATCAAATAGTTGTCTGTACTGTTGATAGTAAACCATCTTCTTCTGCTAATCCTTATCACATAGATATGCCCCTGGAGAATTCTTGAGTTGTAATATGTCTCGATCCTTTTTCTTTTCTTTCTGTCTCCTCACTAGTATTATCTGATGAAAAATTGCAACTATTTTTATTTTTTTGGAACTGTAGGAGCTGATGGATCATTTAAAATAGTAAATAGTTGCTTGAATTGCTGATTAGCAGTTGATCTTTTTTTGCTACAGGTTAACAACCCCCCTCCGCAACCAATTCTTGTTCGTCATGACATTGATATGCCCAATGAGAGTTCTCATGCGTGGACTGCTCAAAGACTGTCTTACTATTCCACCAATGAGGTAATGTTGCAAAAGTGGATTCTCTTCTTTCCAGATTGTAGTTACCTTGCTGTATAGTTGGATACTGCTTAAAACTGTCAGAGACATAGTGTTCAAAATGTATCAGGTTCTCTTATTTCTTTCTTGGATTTTGGTTCATGCACATGCATCTAGATCTAGTCACATGGAATATGAAAGAATGGGTGAACCTAGTGAACGAGGCTCTTGCCAATGAATTCTAGAAACATATTTTGTATATATATATATATCTCAATAATGTATGTAGTTGCATAGAATATGTAATTATGTATGTCAGAAGGAAACACAAGAATACCTGTCAATTTTGAACCAGTCATTAATTTCATATATTTGTTAGGGGGCTAAAATTTTATTCTGAATGCAAAGGTCTGTCTTGTAGAGCATTTGTGTAGCTGCTTATAGTGTGTCTAGATTATTGATTTGGGTAAACCTGTTAAGCTATGTGGCTATTTTTGCTTGCGGTACATCAGAAATTACTTTCAGACAACCTCTGAAAAGGCTTTGCATCTGATGGTACCAGAAATACTCCTCTCAAAAGTGGACAAACTTTTGATTGATGATGCCATTGTGAAGCTTGCTTGGGCCCCCCTCATGTTGGATACATTTGTTCCATTCTTGATGTACCACTGCAGTCCAAATACTGGACATGGAGAGCATGATCAAAATTAAGCCATCTAATTAGACATAGTCTGAAAGGTATATCTAGCTTAACTCAATAGAATAATTTCATGTAACTCTTACAATTGATTCAACTCAATTGAATAGTTGGTTCTACTTCTTCATCTTGATGAGGTTTTAGGTACTGAAACTCGTAGAGACTTCACCCAACTACTCTTCCTAGTGACTACAATTAGTGTGGATGATTCCCTCGATTTCTCCTAAAAAAAAAAAAAAAAATCCTAAGCAATCACATTTACTCTCTGGAGTTGGAATTATTTTTACTATCATACATGCATAGAGTCTATAGAGATATTTGAAGCTTAGTTTTCTTTTTCTGTTGGAATTATGAAAATTTTCACCTATTAATAATATATTGTTGAACAGCATCAAACATTTAGCTTAGTTAAATTAGAGGCTGTGGCTCACCACTTGCAAATAATTGCTCAATTTGTTTGCCTGGAGATTCTCTTACATGCTGTTCTCAATTCCACACTTGCCTGATTTATAACTGCTAAATACAAGTGCAGGAAAGAGCCAGAGAAAAGAAGCCCATGATGGGAGTGCAAGCTCTCCCAAGCTGGGCATGGCAGATGCAGTGCCCAACTCCTTTGCCGCTGTTCTCTTCTGCAGCATCATCAGGATTCTCGATTGCCAGCACCACTACAGCTGCCATTCCTCCCCTGAAGCCTCATTCCTCATGGCCATCTCCATTTCCACCCACCAGCCATATCTAGTTGCTACTCCAAAAGCTAAAGATGATCTTTCTAACGGCCGTGTTGCAGCTTTTGCATCTATGTATTTAATATAGGTGTTAGGCTCTTCTTGGGTCTTGATTTGGAATTGGCATTGAGGTGAATGCTTGGAAGTTTGAGATTGATCCCTTTTCTCTTTTTTTATTGTTGTTTTTTGTTTTGTGAGTTGAGAATAAGTAGGACTTGAGACTTAATGCCTCATCAGAAGCGGATGAAAAGATTTGTTCATATCCCCACAGCCTTATAATTCCTGTAACTTGTTGGTTTGTTTTGGTAACAATGGATTCTTTCACCCTTGCAGATATTATTGTAGGTGTAAGCTGACTACTTGATGAATAATGGATTTACCCAACCTAAACTTCTTTCTTGCTTCTTGTACAGCTTAAAGAGATGGTGTTGATAGACTTGATTGATCATCCAATATTAACCAAGTGATCATGTGGATGTGAAGCAATCATCAGGTGCATGAAATTTCCAAATAGGACAAACCTAATTGTTACGTCCGATGAGTTAATTTTAATAAAAATTATTAATTGAATAGATCAAATAATTATTATGTTGATACATTTGAATACTTAAACATTTCATCCTTAAACATATAATCAAGTTTTCATCTGATGTGCTGCTGTTACTCGATAGTCTAAAGGTGCTGAAGAGTCGATGTTTTACAAACATCATCAATAGTTAAAAATTAGCTCGTGGCACATAAAAGCAAGATTATTTTGGTATTTTTTATGTTTGCAATGTAGCTCTACCTACCTATAATGCTTATGTTATTGCATAACAAAAAACACAAAACACAAAAAGAAAACATTGGCAATAGTAAAATGGGGCTGACAATATTACTCCATACCCTTTAAAAGTTGTCTATAAGAAAATACCGAAAAACAATACTAACAAAAGGTCATATATATGCACTTGATTGCATTGCTTTGTGATAATTTTTCTTCACTTATTCTTTCGAGATCCTCGTTGAAGCTTATACTGATGTGCATCTTTATTTCTTCTTGGCCACAACCCACCTCCTAGCTCTCAAATATAGTCTATTAATATTACCATTGATTAGTCAAACATTGATCCGCCAATGTTACTTTAACTCGCTAACATTTAAAAGATAAGGTTTAAGAAATAAGGTTATTTATCTTCACCCACCTTCTTTGCTTATCCTTTTGAAATATTAATAGGTTATATTCCATGTATGAAATTGGTTGTTGGAATTGGTTGCCTCTTCAACATCGAACTTTTAGAGCACTTGAATTATTGTCTTGAAAGAGCATAATTTTCCCATGACTAAAGCAAGTTGCTAGTTATCCCTTTAGGGTTGTGCTACTTTCTTCATCATTTTTATCACATATTCCTATAGATAAAAAAGGATACAACAACACCTACTATTTCCTATTCCAATTTATGGCTGATCATTATTATATCAACCCTAAGTCCTCCGCTTTCGAATGATTTGATAATAAGTCATTTGGCATAGGTCATATAAAGTTTTTTTTTTTGTTATTACCTTTCTATCTTATTTTGGTACTTAAAATATAACCTTTGCTCGTTGGAAAGAAAATCGATAGTGAAAGCTGGTGGCCTCGAGTGAAGAGGAATCAGGAATAGACGTAGGTTGGGATAACCAAACTATTATAAAATCTGGTTTATATTTATTTTATACTTTTCATTTATATTGAAAATTGATTTCTTACTCTCCCCACGCTCATTACGTTTTCGTACATTTTTAAGTTAAACATCTTTTCAATACGACTTTATTGAACGAAGTTTCTGAATTAACGCAAGTTTTACGAAAGCACTAATTCACCCCCCCCCTCCTCTTAGTGCCGATACGGTCTAAATACTCCTGACATGTTCCACTCCAACCCAATATCTGATTCTTCCTGCTTTAATCAATTTATCTTTTTTGATCAAAGTTAGTCCTACATCACTTAAAATACAAATTAGATCGTAAACTAATCAATTAATTTCATCATCAAAATCCAAGATTCAATAACCTCTTCTCATTTTCATTAGAGTATTTGCAATGGTCTTAAGGTACTATTGATATCTAATGTTCGATTTTAAACATGTGAGGTACTTCTCAAGAAATTGGATCATATATCTCTTCATTTATAGCCATCAATAGTGCTTTTTCATATCCCTATACTAAATATAGAGGTGAGTGTCTTTGTTAAAATAAGTATCTTTGTTATAATTTCTTACTTTATGTCAAGCTCCTTAGTATATATAATCTATCCTGAAATCTGATTACACCTTCATTAATGTGAAAATCTTTTATTTTTTGAACCACAATCTTAAACTTTAATCGGTTCAAATAAGGGTCGTCAATCTATAACTCTTTAATTTTTTTCAAAAGGGTTGGCTGCTATTGCTAATCTCCCAATTAAACCTTTAAGGATCATCTCATATTCAAATTTTTATATTTCTTTATGGAGAGGTCTTTGAATTATCGATAAAGTAGCTAAATCAGCTAACTTTCAATTTAATGCATCCGCAACTATATTCACTTTCCCATAATGGTAATTGATCACACAATCATAATATTTTACTAACTCCAGCCATCTTCTGTGACTTATATTTAACTCTTTTTTAGTAAATAAAATATTTTAAATTATTGTAATCAATGTATATTTCACATCTCCCTATAAAGATAATATCACTAATTTTTTTAGGGCAAACATCATTGTTGTCAATTCTAAATCATGGATTGAATAGTTTTTCTCATAATGTTTTAGTTGTTATGAGACATAAGCTATAACTCTATCATTCAAAATCAAAGAACATAATAAATCATTTTTGGATGTATCACTATACACTACAAATCCTCTTGACCTAAATGGTATTACAAGATTTAGACCTGAAATCAACCACCTTTTCAATTCTAGAAACTATTTTCAGAATGATTAGTCCATTCAAATTTAATATTATTTTATTTTAATTAGGTGAGAGGTGATGTTATCTTGGAGAATCCTTCTGTCATCCTAGAAAAACTCCTTATCTCCATTACAATAATCAGCGCTAGTCACTAAGAGCTTCCACCTTAGTTAGATCTATGGAGATCCCTTCCTTAGATACATTATGCCCAAGGAATGTTATCTTCTATAGTCAAAATTCATATTTCATAAATTTTACATATAATTATTTTTCCTTTAACATACTCAAGGTTATTTTAAATATTTTACATGCTTCTTCTTAGAGTGTGAGTATATCAAAATATTATTACTATCACAAATTTATCTGAATACTCCTTAAATATCTTATTCATTAAGTCCATAAAGATGATTATTATATTTATTAGATCAAGTGATATCATTAAAAATTTAAAATTTTCATATCTGGTCCTGAAAGTGGTCTCAAGAATGTCCTCATATCTTTATGTTTAGTTGGTGATACTCTACTCATAAATCAATTTTAAAAAATACTAATGCACCTTGTAATTGATCAAACAAGTTATCAATTTTAGGGAGTGGATATAACCTGAGATTACTAATGGGCTAGCTTTTGCTTTTGTCTTGGTCATCACAAAAACTTTGTCCGATACTCTTTTTTGTTCTAATGAGATTGTTATGCAGTTTCTTGCTAAATATTATTTTATTTTACTACTCAGAATATGTTGTGGAGACCTATTACCAAAAATAATACTCTTTCTTGACATATCATGGCTACGATACATCTGTTGGGTTTGAAAAATTCTTTGCTCGGGCTTCTTTGCCTCTGAAGCTTTTTCCATTACTAAGGAATAGGGAATATTTGAGGCATTCATTATCATCTTCATGCCCTGATAAATTTTTTCTTTGAGCCCCTATAGAAATTGATCCACCCTCATGGTATTAGTTCTAACCATGTAGGGTGCATATTAGGATAACTCCTCAAACTTTCTAATGTAATACATAATTAATTGGCCTTTTTATTTGATGTTAACAAATTCTGCCATTTTAGTTGATATGTGGGATCCATTAAAATATTTTTGATAAAAAAATTTATTGAATCTTTCCCATGTCATTTGTTTAGCATCTGCAGTCCCCCTTCTTATATCCCACTAGTGACATGCATCAACATTTAAGTTGCACAAATAATTTTATTTAAATTTAGAATCCTTGGATACTCAAAGATTCTCTTAATATTTTTTCTCCACTTAGCCATTAGTGGATTTGTATCACTTTCAAAGATGGTGGATCATTCTTTCTAAATCTCTCACTTATTGATTATACAACATCATGTCCGAGTTGCTACCAACACCGCCTACTGTACTCAAGCCAATAACTCCTCTTGTTGTAGAGATTGTTTCTCCACTAACTCTACTAGCCTATTAATTATCATATCTTTGATCTCCCTATGTGGATGTCTCCCTACTATCGAAAGTCTCCTCTCAAATATTACTAGAGCTACTAGCTTACCCTTTGTTTCTCATGATATCTTCTTGATTAATTTCAAGTTGTTCACACCTTAGGTGCCAGGTATAAGAGCATCAAATAATAATAAGAAAATCAATGCAACTCAATTATTAAAACTTACGTTATAGTTGAGTATTATACCCCATACATTTGCATATAGATAGTCTACAGACTTATAACTTGGGCTCTAATACCACAGTAATATCCTGGTCCTACTTCCACCCATACCTTACATGACTAAAGTAGGATATCATATTTTAAATTTATTAGCGTAAGATATTTAACAATAAATCTCTCATCTTATAACTTCTCTCATCTTATAACTTTTTTAGTAAGCATAACCCGACAATATAACATACACAAAATAAAAAGATAAAATTCTACATCGAAATGATTAAGATGCTTATATACATAATATATGAAGCATAGCAAATTCATCGACTTTAATGCCCCATATCATTATATATATATATATATATATATATATGCACTCCCATATCGCATATCATAATATATAATACGTGCACTCCCACACTACACGTTATAATATATACGTGCACTCCTTCACCGCATGTCATAATATATATATATATATATATATATATATATATATATATATATATATATATATATATATATATATGCACTCCCATATAGAATATATATGTACTATAAGTCAAAACCTATCTGTGTACTCCCATACCGCATGTCATTAAAAACACATGCACTCTCATACAACATGTCATCATATATGCATGCATATAATATATTTTGATCATAATTCATATATTTTTATGCTTATAAAATATATACATCCATATTTAGCTCATGATTGGCTCATGATGATTATGTAATTCGAAACATGTTTTCCAAAATACATTATATAGATAATTTATACAATAACTATTTATAGTAAATTAAACTTACACTTAGAACTAAAAAATGAAGATACTAATGAAGTTCTATAATATTTGAGTGTGATAGAGAGTAATTCATTTATCAAATTCGAAGTATATGGTCATAATATATCTTAATTAAGGACTCTACCCTTTAAATTATTGATTTATAATAATTCATTGCAATAACCTATAAAAAATGATAAAATCTATCATAAAATAAACTATACTTAATCTGAAAATTCATCTTGAATCCGCCACCAATTTTTGAATAATTCACTTTAAAACCAAATGAACTAGTTAGCATCAATCAAACCATCACATAATTCTACGAAGAAATTTTACTTCACTGTTTTATCTACCCAAACGATATTGAATTATTATGAATTTTTTTGACAACTAAGAGATATAAAAACTAAATACAAATCAAATTTTAACTTAAAATATAATTATTTTGAGGCTAAACTACCCTCCTAATTCAACTACCAACACATATTATGTTTTGTCAAGATTAGGTTGGGACTATGTGAATTTATAAATCTCATATCTTGGTGCACAAAAGTAATATTCACTCAATTCCAATTCTCATATAACCCTAAGGAAACTTTTGAAAATATATCAAAATGTCATAGCCTAATCATATTCCTAAATGGGTCAATTTAGCTCGAATAGAATCTCTTCTAAAAAAAGTAAGAGACTATGAGTACCTCATATTGGGATCATAATAACTTTATGTATCAATCTTAGATTAAAATAATACTAGAGGTTTTAGAATCATAAGAAATTCATACAAAATTTAATCAAAAATTAAAAATAAATTTAAAGTTGTAGGTACTCAAAAGTAACTAAATAAAAACAAAACTAAACCCCTAGGTATAACAAAAGATGAATTGAATTTTTGTTTTTCCTCAATCTTGAGCTAGAGTTTCTGGCCTTCATAAAGATGTGGTGAAAAGCTAATAGAATAAAGCTAATAGAATGGCTTAAGAAGGAGATTAAAGATGGTGAGTTATCATGTTGCTTAAGAAGTTATCTCAGTATTTTTCTCACTTTTATGTATCTCAATATTTTTACTATTAACACTCTTCTTCTTTCATGTATCTTAATATTTTTAGCTCAATAATTTACTGATATCTCTCGCGTAAAAGCATTTAATCCTTCGTACGAAGGTCAATCACTCAAGCACGCATTCAGATTGTCAATCCCACTAGATAGTGCATATCGAATGTTTGATATTGTGGTTATCCTATTTATTGACCCAGCCACCAAACCCTTAAATAAGTGTTAATCCTTTTTGCCTTGCATTTGATCCTTTATGAAACCATTCTTTTCTTATTTCGGATCCGGGCTTCCTGATTGATTTCGTTTGGTTCCAATGGTGGTTTCACATGTCATGTTGACCTGAGAAAGTTCCGCGATTTGATTGACAAGCATCCTCCAAAACATCATCCATGGCCACTGATATAACAGTTAGTCACCACTCTGTCGACCAGACTATTCAAACCGATGGATGCTCAAACGTACGTTTCCAAACATAGAAGCATACTACATAATCCTATGGCATTTATGTCCAAAATGATAAATGTCTAGAGAGGTACCTTTAGTAGGAACTTATTGCAAACATGCTTAGAATCGACTCCCGGGATAGAAGAACTCGACACCATTCTCCTTCACTTTGAATTGGAAACTATGAAGTTTCTTGATCAACCCTCCTGGGGCATCCTTGATTATGACAGTCATCTGTTACAATGATATGAATTCTTTAGTATTTACTACCAGGTAGATCAATTAAAATGAGAAAAATCAAGATTATTCATTTAGCACTCCACTGCTCCTTCAAAGAGAAACCGTTTTGGTAAAAAAAGATAAATGCTGTGCAATTTCTCACCATGTGTTTGAATAAAACACTTTTTAAGCACAAAACACAACATGTTGCAGTAGGATTCGGCTATACAGTATAGCCAAAAAAACCTAGGTTACTCGAGGGGGGCGACTTTAACAAACCCAGATAATAAATTTCAACAGGAACATATTGATGTATTATAGAAATCGTATGGTCTATAAATATGCCAAAAAAACCTAGGTTACTCAAGAGCGACGTTAGCAAACCCAACTAATAAGTTTCAACAGGAACATATCGATGTAATTATAGAAATTATATAATACTGAAGCAACGTTAACAGTCCATGGAAATTTTTTACTTTTCCTGGTAATTGCAAGGCATTTGATGGAGATAGAAGTGGGTTGAAAATCAAAGGCTCATTTATGCTCATCTGCATTATAAGATATAGATGATGCAAGGGTAATTTACAAATATGAATTTTACTAAAGTCAACTTAAGAAGATAAAATATGATAGTGACAAAGACTAAAATGGACACATGTAAAAGTTAAGTTACATTACCATGTCAGACCAGATGCTACTGGAATCATTCTCTAAAATTTTCAGTCACTAGGTATTCATTTTCAGTCACTAGGTTTTCTATAAAATTCTGAGTAGGGTGCATTTTGGTTCCACGGAAAAGTAAAAGAAAGATGGTATTCCTTAGAAAACTTCTTTTCCAAGGTTTGTTTGCTAGGAACAATAGAATTCTTAAAAGTTATTTTCCAGATTCTTATGAAAAAAATAACATCTTGTCTTCTAAATTTTTCGTTGAAAAATCAAAAAGGGAACACTATGAAACCAATGTAGGATCATAGGATACATTGTCATATGGCAATTTGTGACATTTGCAAAAGACCCCCTAAATTAATATGTTTTACTTAAAAGAAATGTAAATTAAAAAAAAAAAAGATTCAGCATCATGTTCATGTTGAAAGAAAATGGGATACTACTAGAACTTGAAGGCAATAGGTTATGAGAGTTTTCCTGGAGGAGCTTCCTATATGTTTCCTACAACATTTCACCAATTCATATTCTAGTTCAGCCATTTTTACAGTGCATCTCTAGTTCAGATTTTCAAATTACATGTCCAAACTAAGCGACTCACTTTTATATCATTCATTTCTTCTTCAACCAGCTAGTCTGTTCCATGTCTAATACCATTTCTCAAAACAGTATAATAAAAAGGTATGACAATCATGAAAAAGGTAGATATATTGCTTCCAAAAATCCGATCTTTATCCCAACTCACATGGAATGAATTGTTCCCGTACAAACATCCTACTTATCACACTAGAATCACATGAAACAACAGCCATCAATGATTCTCAGCATTGACATACATATCATGTGTAGGAAAAATGGTAAGAAGGCAAATCAACTTATTGCTTGGCACAATGACTAAGAAACAGACATCATCTCCTAAAAAATTAAAGGGTTTACAACTTTGACCACAAAGTACCTCATTGAAAACATTAGCACCAGAATAATGTAAATGACAAGGCATCAGGGGTAAGAAAATCTATTGATATTTACTGGTGAAACAAATATATAGACCTATGTTACTAAGAATTGCATTTACCTGTCCATGGACATCAGCAGCTATACCAGTAGATAAAGTTTCTGCTTTTATCAGAATGTCAGAGATGTAGTCAAGATGTGAAAGCATCTGCAGAGCTTCATCACTTGAGTGAATATCTTCATGATTCAGAATCACTAGAGAGCAGTCCTAATTGTTGAATCAAAGCAACTTAGCAACAATAGTGAGAATCAATTATTGGACACAAAGAAAAATCATCTATTTTTACCATTTCAGAGGTAAGGCTTCTGCAGTACTGTAGAAAGTCCAACACGTGTTTGGCAGAGCCATGAGCAGCTATTTCCAAATGAGAGAGATCGTCAATTATAATAGTCGTCCAGCCTCCATTGTAATCCTTTGACCTAATAGCTTCTATAGACCTTAAAATTCTATTATACAAATCCATAAATCCAATTTCTATGTCATTTTCACCCTTTTCATCTGCGATTGAAGTATAAATGGAATGGATAAAAGATGAAACCGGATCAGCGCATCATGCAACAAAGATTCTAACAAGCAAATAATCAGGAGTATACTATCATAGTGAACAGACAGAGCAAGAAAAAAATGGTAAAATGATTGAAAGTCAGGAGCATACTTGAAAGCCTCCGCTCGCCTAGAAACTCTAAATTAAGCAAGTCAATAAAATGAAGTTTATTCTTGTTCCTTTGTACTGATAGATTGCATCCCTGAATAAAACAAGAAATGCTAATGAGGTTGCTGACATCATAATAATATGCTGTGTGACAGGATAAGACAATAAATAGTGTGATGGATCAGGCAAGACCATCACAAACTAGAGGAAACGTATATACTCAAAACCAAACACTAATCAACACAAAGAGCATTAAGAAATTCTATTATTTAGCATTATAGAAATGATGCCATGGAATAAACATTACTAGTATCTCCAATTCAACTCTAAATATATTATACACTATACAGAAGCGTATATTAAATATGCTTAGCTTTTCGGCTTCTTGGTCCTATTTTTCCCAATGCATATAAATATGATTCTAAACATATACAAATGCAGATCCTATCGAGAGTACACTGGGAATGCCAGCTAGTTGTGACATCTTTCATCTCTAATATCCTCAGAAGTTTCAAGAATAATGCTAAGTGGCAAGAACATTGCAATAGCATCAGACTAACATGAAAATTACAGAAACATTTTAATGGAAGGGATTAAAGTCAGTAGATATCACAATAAGAAGCAAAATAAAAACAAAATATTTCAGGAAACAAAGTAAATAAGGAACAAAATCTAAGAAAACAAAAAAATAAAGTGTGCAGCATCTGGACCACAAAAGGATACATACAAATGTAGTAATAAAAAAAAGTTTAAACACAAAAAAATATTGTCAAGATAAAGTTAACTATTAACAAAATAATACTTAAACAATTCTCCATATAAGAGAAGTATAATGCCATGAATTTTTAATCTTCATCATGTAAGTGCTTGTGCTCTAGTCAAAAGCACTTGCGCTATTCAAAAAATCTAGCTGGTGTATGAAACATTTTCAAGAAATTTGTATTGAATAAATAACAAATATTAATCTCATAAGGCAAGCTTTAACTGTTACATGGTGAAGACCATGTGCGAGAAGTATCTGGGGTCTATTAAATGATTATGAGCCAGTGATTTAAATAGGTGCTCAGGCGCTCGCCTAAGTGCTCGGGCAAGGCGATGCAAGGCTCGAGTGCCTCGTATGTGGACGAGGCGACGTGCTTCAATGAGGCGCCGCTTGGGCACTCGCCCGAACCTAGGTGTCAGACACTTCGAGCGAGCACCCGGTTCAAATAAGGCAACCGAACCAGACTTTTAAGTTTGGATCGGTTCAACAGTAGTTAGTAACACAATTTCTTACTCTCAAAAGCCACCCTTCATACTCGCACGACCCCGCTGACGCTTTCTGTTGCTGCCTCCACCGAAGACGCAACGGATCGAGCCTTCCTCTGTTGCCAACGGACGGGTCCGACGGCCTAGCAAGAGCCCGTAGCTTCCTTCCATTGTCACTACATGTGCAGTTCCTTCCATTGTTGAGGGAGAGGACCACAGGTTCCTTTGCCACCGATGGACGCCCTTTGGAGCTTCCGCTGCAGCTGCTACTACTATCCGCAGCTTCCGTCGTTGCTACCGTTTGCAGCACTACTGCGGTTGTCTTAAACTAATCCTCCATCAATGCTGCTGCCAGCTTCTCACCGCTGTTGCTACCACTTTCCACTATCGGTTTTCACTCTCAATGACCCTGTTATCCCCCTCTATTATTATTAACAGTTCTTTTCTCCCCCTCTAACTATTGTTAACAGTAAGTAATATATTGTTAATAGTAGATTTTTAATTTAATATCATATTTTTATTTAAATAATAATATTTATTAATTATATTATATTTTTTTATATTTTAATATTTCAAAGCACCTCACTTCGCTCGAGCGAGCGCCTAGCGCCTCGGTTGTTTTGGGACCTTGGTGCATTTTGGCATCTAGCGTTTTTTAAATTACTGTTATGAGCTATTCCAAATGAATGGAAGAAAACATTTTATTGTCTAAACAAAAAATAAAACAAAGTTTACAAGCTATTACAAATAACATAATATACAATATATTAAAATAAATTTATAAGATATGATATGAAAGTTCAAAATGTGATTAAACAAACCTTTAAAATAAAAAGCAATGATTGACAAACAACTCTTAATTTTGTGTTTGATAAAATTTCATCCAGAGAACCTTGAAGCTATTTCATGAGAAAGCTTGATCACACAACATATACTTTTGTGTTTGTATTTTCATGAGAAAGCTATTTCATGAAATATATAGTATTTCCAGAATTATAGTATATATTTCACATTTTAAATTCCACAAATAGTTCTAGTTAGTCCATAACTCTTCGACTTTACTTCTCTTTTTCTCTTACAATTTCTATAACAAAAAACACCATCAACTTATGTTATGTGGTCAAGCTTTATGCAAGTAAGCTAGAGGTGCATGACATTAAGATATTCCTATTGAGCAGTAGAGGTGCATTTTCAATTAGCACTTAATATCAAGAAAATAGAAAGTACCAAATGAAAGGAAGAAAACATTTAAATATAAAAAAAAAAGAAAAAACAAAGTTTATGAGCTATTCCAAATAACATAATATACAATATACCAAAATAAATTTATAAGACATGATATGAAAGTTCAAAATGTGATTAAACAAACTTTAAAAAAACAATGATTATTAAATACTCTTAATTTTGTGCCAAAAAATTTAACCGCAGAAGTTATTTACTCATCAACCAAATTTAAAAACAAAAAATTCCAGAAAAGAAAAAAAAAGAAAAGAAACATCGGCACCTGCAATTAGCTATGATAATACAATTAAAAATTCAAGAATAGTAAGAGGTGAGAAAGTCAATTCTGTTTATTATAGTGTTGCATCAAGATTGATCATACATCCTCACCATTTATACAAATAAAGATGGTTTTACTATACATAACCGAGATTAAGTTTCATGTAACATGATGATTAGGAAACATCATACTGTTTTGGTTGATGAAAATAGAGTAAATAAGAACTCTAAACTAGAACTTTCCAAGATAATTTCAAAGCCAAGTGTGTTTTGTTGCACAAATACAGTCAAGGGAATTATAATTGCATAAGCTGGGAATAACTGCATTTAGTTTAGTTGGTCAAATAATGTAAAGTTCAACCTTAGACCTAAATTGATTTTAGGGTAAATTTTCTCAAAAATAATTTCTAAGATTCAACATGCAGAAGATACGCCACATAAGTAAAAAAGCCACAAGAGATCAAGTGTCTTTTTATAACTATAATTAAAGAAATCTTAGAACAAGATACAATGCATAGTAGATCTAGCTTCATGTTAATATGAAATGTTAACAAATGGGCAGCTAGATAAAACGAATGCTTTTTTTATTCCAACTTCCTCTTTTTTTTCTCTCTCATATTTCCCTCTCTTATCTGTGCCAAAAATCGACATTTAGTTTATATTTTAGAGAAAAAAAGAAAGAAAAAAAAAAAACTCAATCACCAAATTCTAGGTTTCCAAGTCTTCAAGGAAAACAGAAACAGGGAAAACTAAAACGTAAAGGCACGAAAGCAATATATCAGGTGAGAGGCCTCGAGTGTATCAGATATTGTTCATGAAACTCATCGTTCTTTCACTTTGGACTGGCACGAGATGAGGATTAAACAGACACAATCTTTTACCTAAATCCTTCCCATAATTCTCTCCATATAATTTTGACGAATAAAATGAAGATGCGTTCATGAAGCTGAAACAAACAGCAGTGCGGAAGGCGATCGACAAAATCTCGCAAGTGCAGTTATGAGAAATAAATAAGCAGAAACTCAACCAATCATTTCTTGATACCATCGTGAGTGACAACAGCAGGGGAGAGGTGTTCGACAAAATGCCACGAGGGCAAGGCATGAAAAATACATAGGCAGAAACTCAACCACACTTCTTGACAACATCGTGGGCAACAACAGCAAGGTTGAGAGATGTCCATCAAATTTCTACGAGTGCAATCATGCGAAACAAATAAGCAGAAACCCAACCGATCACTTCTTAGTACTATTGTAGACGAAAACAGCAGAAATCCAGCCAATCACTTCTCGACATCATCGCGGGCGGGAAAAACAGGGAGACAAGTGTTCGATAAAATACCATAAAGGAGCGACACATGAGGATCCGAGAACTCGGCTTACCATCTTCCGAAGGACACGGTCGTAATGTGAGAAAGGCTGCGCGAGACCGAGGAAGACAACGGTCCCATCGCCTTCGGTGGAGAGAGCGCGCTTCAAGAAGTGGTGGAGGACGAAGGCGCCGCTCGTCTCGACGCAGTCCTCGACGAAGGCGAGGCGCCACGGGGGGGAGCCACCGCGGCCGAGCCCCAACGCCTCTTCGAGGAGATCGGGATCGCGTGGAGGAGGAGGAGAAGGGTTCATCTCGCCTCGCCTCGCCTCGCTTTCCCGGACGCGATCGCCTCTTCGTTGCGCTGCTTTCTATTGGTTTAAGAAGCGGTTCTCCACAGTCTATACGCACCTCGCATACCTGTCCGATACGGTAAGGGGAACGGGTCGGGTTTTTTTGGTATCAGACCCTATTCGATCCACTTAAATTGGATTCGAATCTCCATCTATCCGATGTGAAACGAGTATGCATAATTTAACGGGTATCGGATTCGACACGGATTCGGGCATTCATTCCTTCGGTAATAACCGGTTGAAATCTCTTTTAGAGTTGAATTCCCATCAATTGCGGGACCCGTTAAAGCCTGCAACTACAAGCGGGTACGGCGGCGGGTAGCGTCAGCCAATGGGAACCCGTGTTTGAGGGACTAAAATGGAGACGCGTACGGAAACGTATTCGCTGAAATCAAAACCATTGGATCCACTGATTGAACGGTGGAGATCTCATGTTTCCTCCGATTAAATTTGGTATTTCTCGCAGACGGTCGTTTTCCGCTCGCTGTAAATATATACTCCCTCAAAAAGCTTTCCGTTTGGTGTCCGTAAATAGTTAACGACGTCCTTTCTTGTTCGCTTCGTCCCAGCTAAGCGAATAACTAAGAAAGCAGAGACAGCGAGAGGAAGAGTTGGGAGAAATTGGTGGGGAAGAAAGAGATGGGGAGCGGCTGTTTCGCCTGCACCGGACCGAAGGTGGACGAGAAGGATCGGATCCAGCAAGCCATAGGTATTGGAACGTGAATCCATCGAAAAAGATGGCAGCTTTAGACTCCTTTGGTTGTGTGTCTTCAAGATGATCGGCTCGTTCGTCGATGAGCTTGTTTACTTGTTAATGCGTGAAACGAATTGATTATGCTCCTCCTTTCGAATTGTTTAGACTTCACATGGAACAAAATCTGCGTCTAAATCCATCTACTCTCGCGGTGGGTTAATGGATTGGAAAAGCAAAAGAGCACTTTTTTCTCTAATTTACAGATGAATCCGCATCGGTGTGCTTCAAAACTTGAAGCCACACTTTGCAAAAGAAGATTTTGTTTAGTTAATTTGATTTTTCATGTCTAATTTTGTGCACAGCATTTGTCAATTGGCTAAGAAATATGAAAAGTTTTACCAAAATTTATAGGCTAAATCCATTGCCTTTCGGAACTTCCAGTTACAAGTGAGTCATAAGAATTCTTTGTATTCTGTCCTATTTTACTTCATGTTCTTCTTCTAGCAGATACACTGAAATGCACTGCGTCATGGGATGTTAAGAACCATAGCCCATGGAATGAGGGGGAGACATCCAGTAGTGGATCACGACCAATCGCTGCTCATATATTTTCATATCGTGAACTGGCTGCGGCAACCAAGTTCTTCAGGGCTGATTTCCTCCTAGGGGAGGGAGGATTTGGTCGAGTATATAAAGGCATGCTGGAAAGTGGCAATCAGGTCAGCGAATGTTTTGTGACAGCATTTCTTTTTTGCTTATCTTATTTTGTGTTCATCAAACATTAGCAAGTTGCAAATCTAAGTTTATAAATTAGAAATGTGCATGTTTTTCTTGAATTTTAAGGTGTGTTGATCTCTGGGTAACTACTTTTTTGAATAAACCATATAGTATTTCTCCACCTATAGTTCTATTTGGCAATCTGATGATTTTACCTAAGGATGTCTTTAATAGTAACAGTTGTGGTTTCTTTTTGGTCTGTTGGTTTGAGAATTTCATTGCATCTCCAATATGATAAATGGAGGACTAGGTTTTAGGTACCATTTAAAGTTGAGAAGAAGATTTTACTCAACGTACTTAAGTATCAAGTTGGTGACACACACTTTGCTGTTTTTTGGGCTAGATTGTTGCCATAAAGCAGCTCAATCCCAATGGCCTGCAAGGAAACAGGGAATTTCTTGTCGAAGTTCTGATGCTGAGCCTACTGCACCACCCCAACCTTGTTAATTTGATTGGTTATTGTGCTGATGGAGATCAAAGACTATTGGTTTATGAATACATGCCATTGGGATCACTGGAGGACCATCTTCATGGTATACTACTTTCATGCAGCCTGAGTATCATACTCCTTTAAATTAGTAGACACTTATTTGTTCAAACTGATATTTATGTGTTCGTGTGGTTACGACAGACCTTTCTCCAAATAAGAGGAGGCTTGACTGGAACACGAGAATGAAAATAGCTGCTGGGGCAGCGAAAGGATTGGAATATTTGCATGATATGGCCAGCCCTCCTGTTATATACCGTGATTTAAAATGTTCTAACATTTTGCTAGATGAAGGATATCATCCCAAGTTATCTGATTTTGGCTTGGCAAAGCTTGGTCCAGTAGGTGATAACACTCATGTCTCCACCAGGGTGATGGGTACATATGGGTATTGTGCTCCTGAATATGCGATGACGGGGCAGCTGACAGTAAAATCAGATGTTTATAGCTTTGGTGTTGTTCTTTTAGAGCTCATAACTGGAAGAAGGGCAATTGACAATTCTAGAGGAGCAGAAGAGCACAATCTTGTTGCATGGGTAAGGATCTTGTCCTTTAATGGATATATCTTTCCTTTTGTCTCCGCTAAAACTGTTTTACACCTTTACTTGTGCTTCTTTAAATGGTGCCAATCTATCATTTGTCTGGTTAGTGTTAATATTGCATATATATCATCATATGGAAAATAGTTCAATTAGAGTCATTCAATTTTTAAGTTCATAAACAGAGTACGAGCATGTCGACCTTGATGTTTCCATGAAGAGGAAAACATCGTGGGAGTTCAGTTCAATTTCTATCATTCTTTTCTGTTTCGCTACCAATTCTCCCCTATGTAGACTCGACTAGACTCCCAACACCAACTAGCATTCCTATAGGCACAACTTCTGTCAGTACTTTTTGAGACACAGATTGAAGTTTGCTTCTAAACATACTTGATCTAGGCAATATTGAGCCAGTCTTCTGTTTACTCTCATTTCTGATCATTGAGTGTTGCCTTTTCCTTCAACTTCTGTTTTCTAGGTTCTTTGCTTGAGGCTTAAGAGATGAAGGGAAAAAAAAGCCTTGTTGTTATTCAAGGGAAAAATGCTCAACTCTTCCTTCTGATCTAGTTATTTTTTTGCTTGGATTATTTGATGTAGTAATGCTAGTTAATATGTTGTTTGGTTACAGGCGCGACCAATGCTCAACGACAGGATGAAATTTCGACAGATTGCTGATCCAGTTTTTCAGGGCCAGTATCCTCCAAGGGGCTTATACCAGGCACTTGCTGTTGCTGCAATGTGTGTTCAAGAGCAGCCTTCAATGAGGCCTCTGATGGCTGATGTTGTTACAGCTCTTTCTTACCTGTCTTCACAACCTAACAAACCCGAGAACCAACAGAGACCAAACACCTATAGGCTTACAGCAACCAGCACTCCTCATCGAGCGAGAAGAGATGGCGAAAAGAAACTGAGGTGGGGATCTGAAAGTGATCAGTTGAGGAGGTTGAAGTGAAATCAGTTGATACCCTTTCATGAGCTAAAGGTTGTATGTACCATCCGTTGAAAAAGTAGATGGAAGTAGATATGCTTTGTCACAGATTAGAGCTTATCATCGGCGTCTCTTTTGGTTGGCTTATTGTTGTTCGATTACTAAAATGTATTCTCTTTTTTATGGATATATGATCATGGTTCATTGTATCCAAGTAAACCTGCAAACAGCATGCACTTTTTTTGCCGTTCTTTTGTTTACATGGTATTAAAATGTAGAAAGTTACACTGTTGGATTCTTTTAAATCTTGTAGAATGAAGTGTTAGTATTTTTCTTCTTTCTATCCTTTAATATGACTAGTATTTCCCTCAATTATTGTCTGCTTGATCTCAACTCTTTATTTATTGGCAATGTTGGGTTAGCATTGTTTTTGTTGTAGAAATTCTGATCATTGTAAAAAGATGGCAATCTATCTTGGACTGCTCATCCAACCCAACCCAGGGCACATCTGATGTTGAATCATCCTATATCTTTATTCATCTCTGAGATCCTATATTTTTTTTTCAGGTATAAAATTCTATTTTAGCAAAACACTTGTGTTTCTGCTAGGAATAACAAATATTTCAACCCTAAAGACACAGATCATTAACACTAAAACTTGTTTAAAACTTTGTGAAGAGCACAAAAGAAACATGCATCCCAAGGCTGTCTCTGGAATAATAATGAGATTAGGAATAAATTATGTAGCATGTCTTCCAGTAGAATTTCCTAATCGCATTACCTACCATTGATCCAGATAATACATTAAGACACCTAATCACATTAGCTACCACTGATCCCAGATAATACATTTGATCTTGGAAACCAAGCAATGGATCACATTTGATGGTGTTGTGTGTGTGTGTGTGTTTGGTTCATGAAAACATAAGATTGTTTCTGGAAATGAACTTTCATTTTTCATTGGTTTCCGGAACAAAAACCAGAGAGACGCAACATCCAGCTCCAGATCCTCAGATTGCTTCCTCAAAGGATAAACCTCAAGTTCTTGGGCATCATTAAAACGAAGATGTGGCCACTAAACTTTTCGTTTTAAAATAAATTACACTAAAAAGATATGCTTTTCTTATATCACCACCAAAAGAAAATGATCAGTCACCTGATTGCTCTTGCATTTTTCTGCTCCATGTCTGCAGTATCCAGCTTTGAGCTCAGTACGAATCGTTCCAACCGAGCCTGCTTCTTCTTTGCTTCCTCATCAGTTCCATTGTGCACCCTAAGTCCAAACCTAATAAATGACAAAGAAATAAGAGAAATTACAGACTTCTAATCTCAGGGAAAGGCTAACAAATATCTAACGTGTCAACCAAAAGCAAGCACCTCTCTGCTCGGGCCTTTCTTTTCTGGTCCTCAAATAATTTATGCACTAAAAGAAGGTTAATAATTGGAAAGTTAATTCTCAGCTAAATATATGATGACCAAAGAGAAAAGCATGATAACTAAAAATATGCATACGGTTCTATTTAATTAAATAAAATATATTATAAATTTGATTAAATTTTAATTATAAAATCTTTTAATTACCATCATATACCCCTACTCTTACGTATAAAAAGATAAGACCTCCTAGAGATAAGCCAACTAGTTATTAAAATTACATATCTATTTTTAATCTCCTTTAGTTCCTAATTCATCGCTCATAGCGTTCATATGAAAAATATGAAGAGAAAAGAGTCTAGTTCTCTTTATAGAACAACACCCCCGTAGTTTTCAGATCCAAAAACAATACACGTATAGATCAAATAAAGATTATCTAAATTACATCAAAAAGTATGCATTGTAAATTTGATCTATCATTATTTAATTTTAATTTTTGGCACTAAATTTTTTCGTATAACAATAGCATAATCATGATTTGTATAATTATAATTGATATCTGAGTCATGTTTTAAAATCAAATACTTTAGATTATAAAAATATATCATATCTATTTTGTATTTAGATATGTTTATTAGCATTCTTTGCTTGTGAAAAAGTATTATCCAATTTTGATTTATGATGCTTGAACAATCCATCTGATCTGTTTTCCTATGTTGATTATTTTATTGCTTGGATGCAAGGTTTTGATGGACCACTATCGACAGCTTACTATTAGCAATAGTATTATTGAGGACAATAGCCTTCGATGGTCACTAGCCTAATCACAAACAATGGCTACATATGTAGTGGAAGTGCCTTGGGGTGCGAAGGCTAGTGGTAACCACATGCACGGTTGCCTTAGTCATGACAACCTTACGACGGGCGGCCTGCCTTGGTCGCAGGTAGCTACAATAGTGTCACTGCCTATGGTGACTGTAATAATGTCACTATAGTGACATTTGCTAGCTATGGCTACACAAGCAAAAGTGTGGGCACAATTGCATGCCACAATGATCATGAGGGTTCATTGGGTGGCGTGTATGCACAACCGTACATGGGCACAATGGTTAGTATAGCACGAGGACCGGTGTGGTCATTAATCGATAGTGTAAGGACAATCGTCACTTGCACACCGCCTGCGACCATTGTGCTGGACACTAAAGGCTAACAGTTGTGTAAGCGGAGGCGTAGGCATAACTACATGCTGCGATGACTATGGGGAGTCATCGAGTGATGTGTGCACACAACCACATGTGGGCATGGTATCACAAGGATGGTAAGGCCATTGATAGACAGTGTAAGGATAATTGTCACTTAAAGTAATAATTACAAGCAACACACTAGTGATGACCATAATCAACAATCGCACACTGTGATGGTCACATGCCTTGCGCAATGATGGTGGAAAAGGAAGAAAAGAATTATGGTTTTATTTTTAAAATTATAGTATTACCCTTATAAATCCTTTTAATTTCAATTTATGCCACCCTTTAGAAATTATATATTTCCATTATATATCCTAAGAAAAATTATAGTTTTGCTCCTTAGATATTAACATTTTTTAACTTGTATCCTCAATTATAAAATTAACTAATTTGATTTATTTTAATCAAATATTTTGAATAGATTTGATCATGATTATATTTTAATTGCTTGGCTAGATTTATATTCGATTAATTAAGTTTTAATCGAATTCAAAAAAATTAATTTTTGATTAATTTTTTACTTTAATCAAGTTTAATTTTGATGACCCAAATTAGGTGGATGGTTGGGCTAAATTTATAAACCTAATTTGGGTAGCCTAATTCTAGACTTGCCCAATTAAATATGATTGATTGGTCTAATTTAGGATTCCATACAAAATTTTTAAAAAATATAAATCATATCTTTTTTATAGTTTTCTAATATGATATAATAATAAAATTATGTATGTGATAATTAAAAATCTAATTATTATTCTTAGATATTTATTTGGTTATTCATGAAAATATGTTTATAATTATGAAATAATATTTATTTTTCATATAAAGATATTATTTATGTTTATCATAATTATAATTATCATATGCATATTTCTTTATTCTAATTAATATTCAATAATTATTATGATTATTATTTTATTATTATTCAATTACTTCAACATAAATTAGATTAAATGGTACTTAGTTAATATTATTTGTAACTTATATTTCTAAGTTTTATTTAATTGGTAGTTATGAAATAGGCCTACGATGGTAGATTTATGATATTTAAATTATAATAAATATTTTTATCATTTATATAATATTTTAAATTTTATTTTATATTATTGTATGTCTTACAATCATTAAAGTGACATAGATCGATAACTTATGAATTTACACTAAAGAATTAGTTCTTAACGATATTAAGAAAATAATATTTATAATGACATATATAATTAGGATACTTAAGAAGAATATATTTTGAATAATTATGTGATAGGGGTAGGATGATAAAGATATACTTATAGTTTAGGATTGTATACTCAAAGATAGCAATACTATTCCATAAGAATGATACTTGTATTCTATAAATAATTTTATGTGAACACTAGATATGTTAATATTTCACTGAAAGGTAAAATAAAGATGATATCAATAATTTAATATTTACTAAAATACTTAAAATATTAATATTATTTTATTACAATGATACTTCCTTCATTGTATTCTTATAAATATCCCTATATTTTTTGAATTAAATTATTATAAATAGTCTAAGCATATATAATTTATATTGGATGTGTTAAAGTTTGATCAAACTAGTTAAAAGGATCATATACATAACTACTAAAAGTTCTATGGAATAAATAATTGATATAAATGATTGAAAAAGTCTAAAATACTCAATATTATATAATTACTAATAATATTTAGACTTCATTACTATTTATAACTAGCATAGTAGAATATTTAATGATTAATCTTAATTTATTGATAAGTTATTATCTGATATATTAATGAAAGAACTAACTAAAATTTAGTATGATAGTATTTGAGGAATTCAGGATTATATATATGACTAATAAAGTTATAAACTCAAACATTGGGCATAAATATAATTGAGTCCTTTCCCATATAATTAATTCTTAGTTTTATTTCTTCTTAGTTTAGCTCATTTAAAATTTATTATAATAAAATTAAGGATAAATAAAACTTAAATGAGCTAACTAATATATGTTTTTAAGAATTAAAATTAAAATAAAAAGACTCATAATATTTTGGATAATACTCGATGAGTAATAATAAAATAAAGTTGAAGTATAAATTACTAATTTTTTTATTACTATATAAACTTATAAAAAGAAAAACTTCATGGTAGAGTACTTGTTTTGTAATAAGAAAGGATACGTGAAAAGAGATTGCATTAATCACAAGATTTAACTTAAACAGAAAAATATAAACTTGACTTTTATATATTTTAAATCAAATATTATAGAGGTTCCTTCTAATACTTGATGGATTAAATCTATTGCTTCAACTCATTTTACTAATAACATAAAAGATTTTTTATTATAAAAAATTATCTCAAAATAAAAGGGATAGCAACGAGAACTTTTAACCTGTAGTTAGAGATGACACATTTGATAGATCTTGTTGGCACATAATATATTCATACTATTTCTAAAAATTTAATTTCTCTATTTATAATTGATGAGTTAGGATATTATCTTTCTTTCTATAATAGTAAACTTAATATATTTTATGATTTAATAAAAGTTAGTTCCGGAATTCTATGTGATGATTTGTATAGAATTAATTTGAATTTTGAGTTTACAAAATCATTAGTGACCTTACAATCAAATATTATATTAAAATAATATTTTAATAATAAAAAAACTTTTATATTATGAAAGAATTGAAAGATTAGTAAATGATAATATTTTAGAAGATTTAGACTTTGTTGATTTTGATGTTTATATAGATTGTATTAAGAGAAAATAGACTAAACATACAAAGTAAAATATCATAAAAAGTGAAGATTTCCTTGAAATTATTCATAGTGATATATGTTGACCACTTTAAATTTTATATTTCTATGGAGAAAGATGTTTTATTAGATTTATATATGACTTGTCCATATATGATTATATATATATAATATATGAAAAGTATCAAGTTATTAGTACTATTGAGGTATGCATAAATGAGATCAACAAATAATTAGATAAAAAAATCAAAATTATTAGATCTAATAGGGGTGATAAATTTTATGACATATATGATAAATTCAATGAGAATGTTGATCCTTTTATTAGATTTTTAAGAAGGCGAGGTATTTGTACTCAATCTACCTTACCAGGTGTGTCATAGTAGAATATTATTACTAAAAGTAAAATCATACTCTTATGAATATATTAGAAGCATGATGAACTATTCCTCCCTACTTGAGTTTATGTGAGGTGAAACTATTAGGATAACTATACATAGGAATATTTGAGCTATGGACTAATAGGAATATTGGGTTTATTTTGTAGAGATAAGAGTCTTCAATTCATATGAAAAGAAAATTAGATTCAAGAACTATTTTTAAATATTTTATTAATTATCCAAAAAATTTTAAAAATAAAATTTTTTATTATCTTAATTATAGTACGAAAATAGTAGAATATGATAATGCAAGATTTCTAAAAATGATAAAATTAGTGGGAGTGAAAAATCTTAAAAAATTAATTTTGATATCAAGAATATACAGGTTAATACTTTTTTATTATTTTCTATTTGAGATATTGTTGTTCCGTAAATTATTAAAAGAATTAATGATGATAAATAATAAAATAATATTGATGAACTTCACATGATGTTGATGTCATCATTAATGATCGTAGAATAACAATAACTAGTAATTTTGAGAAGATAGATTTCTTATCATTTTCATAAGTCATGAAAAATAGTAATCCTAAAAATGATATGATACAATGAAAAAGTTGAAATTGATTAACTAGAATGATATTCGAGAACTCATTAAATTATCTAATAAGTAGAAAAGAGTTAATCTATAATTAACCCGTTTTACATAAGTTGAGTTTGACCTTTTTCTGATAAGGCCGGCCTGTTTCCTGACGGAAGTAAACTCGGATCCGGCCCAAGATTCTATTGAAATATTTGAATTTATGAATGAATCAGGACGACATATCGGGCAGATTCCTCGCCTCCGTTACGCCGCAGGGAGTGGCGGATCTCATTCGAAACGTTGCCGACGGAAGCAGCACACCACAGAAACCCAATCCGGTAATTCCACCACATCTCTCTCGTCACTGCTTCGCTCTCTCTTAACGATTCCATAAGCTTCGGAGAATAAAATCGTAAAATCATCTCCCAAACAGATAAATAAAATTATTTACTCCTCTATCAACAAATCAAGATATTAATAATTTTTACGATTAATTCCAATTACAGGAGATAGAAAGTCTAAATTACCCTCACCATTCGATCTTAATCCCTACCAGTCTCTACTTACCTCACTCTGTCCTCGTATCGAGGGAGGTCGAGGTTGAGCTTTACCAACAAAGTTCTTGATACTTCAGAGCCTTTGCCGATGGCGGCAGCTGCAGCTGGGTGAGCATCGAAATCCTATGCATTTCCTTCATGCCCTTGATTCGATTAAGTTTTTGTTGAACAATGGAGTCATGTTGATGCAGTTTCGCGAAGGAGGTACTGCCTCCGAGTCTCGACTCGACCTCGAAGCCACCTGCGATCTTCGACGGCACCACCAGGTAGCCAATCGATCAATCCAGCATTCGATTTGAGGCAAATGTTGTTGTTCGGATCAAAGCTTTTGATTTGCTTTCTTTTCGTATTTGTTCTTGAAGGTTGTATATATCTTATGTATGCCCATATGCGCAACGCACCTGGATTGCTAGGAATTATAAGGTAATCTTCTGTTTCTTTCACTGTTTGGATAGATGCGAGAAGCTTAGGAGTGTCAATTTGACCCTCTCTTTTCAGTTAATTATATATAAATATTAGATTTTTGGGAAGATGTTATACCAAATACATGACAATTTTTTGTTCTTGAAGAGCAGGGAGTACAGGAAAATATTAAATTGGTTCCTATTGATCTGGAAAATAAGCCCGCTTGGTACAAGGAGAAGGTTTATCCCGCAAATAAGGTTTGATTACTTTATGGTGTTATTTGGTGATATGTTTTGTGGAAGTAGTATTAAGGTGGTGAATCGTCGCTTAAAAGGTGCCATCGTTGGAGCATAATAACAAGGTGAAAGGAGAGAGTCTTGATCTGGTGAAGTATATCGACAAATATTTTGAAGGGCCAGCGTTGCTGCCCGATGTAAGTGATTCCTTGATATTTGTCATGAGAGGAATGCCACATCATGTTACAAACTTGTTCATATTCCATCATGAAAATTACAGGACCCTGCGAAACAGCAGTTTGCAGAGGAGCTGTTGTCTTACAATGATTCCTTTAATAAAGCTATGTACAGTGCAATGCCTTCTAATGCGGATGTTGATGATGATGCTGGTTAGATAAAAACTATCCCCTAACTTCTATCATCTACTTGGGCAAAGAAAATTAAATGCTTAAGCACTGATCTATACAAGACCTGTTTTGTATCAGGTGCTGCCCTCGACAAGTTAGAAGATGCCCTATCAAAATTTGACGATGGACCATTTTTCCTTGGCCAATTTAGTTTGGTGAGTAACTGCATGTAGTTGATTTTTTTATGTATTATATTGCCTTGCTGTTGTTTATTTATCATCAGAATGGAAGAAAGTTAAGAAAAATCTCAGACTACATATTAATCTTTACTGATTTGCATGTTTTACATGTTGCTAAATCTGTAAATGAGTTTTATATCTCAGCTGATATCTTTTACCATTTACAATTATGGGCTATGTCATAGCTTGAAGTTTTTCAGTCGTGTGCTTTGAACTACATGTTTGGTGAATAACTGACAATGTACAATTTGATTTGTTGCTAACATCTAAAAATTGTAGTAGTAAAAGAATATTATCTGATTACCATATTGTTCTGTCTTAATCCCTAATCTGCCTATTTAAATATCAGTGTCAATTATTATCTTTGTTGATACTTTCCATAACTCATTACTTGTTTGGTTGATTTTCCACCTTTCTAGAGTTTGGAAATCTGTACTTGAGTATTGTTGATTTTTATTTTCACTTCCTCCATAATTTTGGTTTAGTAATTTCATTGTTCCAAAAGAATCCATATAAAACTGAAGTTTGATTTATCTTTCTGGAAATCTTAATAAATATATGTAAAGCGATAATTTTTTTATACTTTGAGAACTCCAATTTGTAGTGTGCATGCTTGACATTGTCACAGAATTAAGTTCCAAAACATGTTCTTATGTGGTTCCTTGACTTACTAGTGCTAAAATTCAGGCACTTCGTCAGCTTGCTAAATTTGAAGTTAGTTACTAAGAATCTAAAACTGTTCATGATTGATGTCGTTAAAAAATACAAAACATTGTTCTACATAAACATATGGAGAGAATTAGACTTGTGATAATATCAAGTTTCGGTAATTGGCATGTGTGACATGTTATTCATTTCATGGTGCTTTAACTGTTATGTTTGGTAATATGTGATACTTTATTTGGGGAGCAAATTTTCATTATTTGCTTGCTTCTTTTCTGAGATTGTAGAGGTGATATTTCTGCATCAAGACTTGTAGTGTGTCATGACTAAGTTCTGTCATTTTTATATGGTGATCTTGTTGTTATTCTAATCTTATATTTTTCCTAATGTGTAATTTAGGTTGATATTGCTTATGCTCCATTTATTGAAAGATTCCAGACCTTCTTTGAGGAGGTGAAGAACTATGATATCACCAAAGGAAGGCCTAAGCTGACATTGTGGATTGAGGTAGTTCCGTGCTCATATTGATCTTTGAATGCTCTATAATGTGTGATCTTTCTCATCATACCAAGTTGTTCGAGGTGGTGTGACAATTCCCTATGGTCAACTACTTGGTTCATTTTGCAATTCTGTAACAAGAAGATTCTTTTACATGCAATAAATCAAACTTCTGATTTAATTAACATGAAACTAGAAGACTATCTGTTTGCAATGTTCATTTGAGAGTTTTTATTTAGTTGGTGTACAAAAGAGAAACTAATACTATGCTTTACTGAATTGTATAACTGTAAATATTAAATTTATAGCCATCTTCAGTAAAATTCTACATCTGCAAGCATTTATTCTCAGGTTTCTGTTTCCTTTTACATAGTTAAGTTTGTTTTTCTTCATTTGTATAACCTCTCATTCCTATCTTACCCTTGTCTGGTAAGCTTGTCACTTGAGATCTATCTTCCTTAAACTGTGTACCCTGTTAAGCCTTTTCTTAGTTTATACCAACTCTACTTGTAGTCTTTGGTGCTCCTGGATGAATTAATTTTACCATTTGACCTAGTCTTGCTATGTATGTACTATATCTTTACATCGAAAGAAAAAAAAGTGTATGCAGAATCATAACATTAGAGCTACTAGATGGTATATGTCTCCTCTCCTATGATAATAAGATTTTCTTGATAAAGGAAAGTCTAACGCGCCATGAAATATGAAAAGACCCATGAGAATATGACTTCTTGCTTTGTAACATATTTGGTACTCCCATACTACGATGTAAACAAGTATGTATAATCCAACTCTTTTATACCACCTACTTATAGATATACTGAACAATTTATTTGTTGTTTTAGGAATTGAATAAGATTGATGCCTACACACATACTAGACGTGATCCTCAGGAGCTGCTGATGAGGACTAAGAAGCGCTTTGGGGTAAAATATTATTATGGTTTCTCACTATGAATTCAGATTCATATGTCGTAGTTCAGTTCAAAAGCTATATGATATTTACACGTCTTTTTCTGTTCTTTGTTTTCAGATTGCGTGAAGAAACCTTCATGCTTCTGTTCTTCAGGTTCTGATATCACTTGTTTCATCTTCTTCGTGCACATTTTGAGGAAAAAAAAAAAAGAGGAACCGTTGGCCTACATTTTCTTCATCTATAATAAGATTAATGCAATGATATATGTAATGTGGAAGTAAAACATATCTTTCTCCTATTAATTAGAGACATGGAACCGTTTTAAGTTTCTTGCAATGCTTTGCATGTCTACTTGCCTTCCTTTCTTGCTAATCTTGTAGCTAGCGTTTGTGTCTTTCTTCCCCCCAAAGCCAAATGACTCCTTGATATTAAAGGTCATAATTATTGTCCATAAATAGCATGGATTTTATCTGGGATCTTTCAAGATGGAATAATCTTAGCTTCAACGTTGGAAGTAGAAAGTACAAAAGTGTGGCCTCTAGGACTATGATGTCCTTTGGGAATGTGATTCACTAGTAAAATATATAGTATTCGAGTTTCACGAACTAAAACTAACATACCAATAGAAGTATAAATAATATATATATGTTATTCTCACTTAGTGATATGATTTATGATGTTCATGTTCCATAAATATGATAAATGATATGATCATTTTCAGTTTTTAGATTGAAGTATATGTTTTCCAAAAATATCATTCTTAGTGTTTTACGAAATTTCAAATGACCATGCATAAGCATTCATGTTTAAGTTAATCATAACATAATAAGCTATAAAATGCTAGTGAATTGAAGTATGAGGTTAGGTTATGGTAATAAACATGTATATATCAACTACAAGTGAATCTCAATTGACCTTAAGTGAATCTCAAGGTTTGAATTAGTATGAACATGATTAAAGCAAGGAAATTTAAGTTTTAAACCTTATGTATATGGAGGATAATAAACTACTTAGGCATGAATGGAATAATTAAAAATTAAATGGAGATATAAATAAAAAAAAATTATACTAAATGTTGAGATACGTAAATGAGATTAAAAATGAGTTTAGATAAAAAATGTCAATCTTATCAAACCAAATTAAACTCAATAGAAGTTGTTGGAACATTAGAATTATATTAATAAAAGAAAAAAATAAAAGAAATGAAATGAAAATTTTGAAATGAGGTCTAATTAAATTGAACCTTAGGCCTCAAGGCAACCTTTTAAGTACCTCTATTATTTTGATCTCATCCTCTTTACTAACCTGATCATTTCACTTCCTCTTTAGCCATTCTTTGAGCTTTTCTTATGGAGATTAGGAAACCTCGTTTCCAGGGAGATTAAGGTAAGGAAAACTCAATTATTCCCTTACTATACTTGGTGTTTTAATTTTATAGAGTATAATATGATCTTTTTAGCTGCTTTTGCGTAAACTAATATCTTTGATTTTTGGATATGTTTTGTATGATTCTCTTACGATTCTAAGGCCTCTAGTATTATCTTTATGTGAGATCGGTGCATAGAGTTATGATTGTCCTAATCTAAGGTACTCAAAATCCTCTATTTTTTAAGAAGGGGTTTTATTTAAGCTGAATTAATCTATTTAGGGATATAATTATGTTCTAGTCTTTTGATACATTTTAAAAGGTTTTATTAGGATTCGGTGAGATTTTGAATTGAGTAAATACTATCTTTATCCACCAAGATATGAGGTTTGTAAGTTCAGATAGTCCCAACCTAGTTTCGGCGGAATAGAATAGATATTGATAGTTGAATTAGAAGGGTAGTTTAGCCTCTAAATGATTCGATCTTAAGTTGAATTTTGATCTATACTTAGTTTTATATGTTTTCTAGTTTTCTACAAAATTTTATAATAATTTAGGATCATTTGGTCATTTAGAATATTGAAGTACAATTTCTTTGTAAAATTGTACGATGGTTTGATTGGTGATAGTTCATTTGATTATAGAGTGAATTGTTAGAAAATTTGATAGTGGATTCTAGATAAATTTTTTAGGTTAAGTATAATTTATTTTATGTGGGATTTTATCAATTTTTTATATGGATTATTGTAATGAATTATTATAAATTGATAATTTAAGAGGTAGGGTTTTTAATTAAGGCATCTCATAACTCTATGCTCTCAATTTGATAGGTGTATCACTCTCTAGCACACTCAATCATTAAGGGATATGATCTTTTCTTGGTATCTTCACTTTTGAGTTCAATTAGATAAGTATAAGTTTAAT